GATTTAATTTAGGTATTTTAAGATTTAACTTAGGTACTTTAAGATTTAATTTAGATATTTTGAGACTCGATTTAGGTATTTTAAGAATTAATTTAGGTATTTTAAAATTTAATTTGGATATTTTAAGATTTAATTTAGGTATTTTAAGATTTCATTTGGATATTTTAAGATTTAATTTAGGTATTTTAAGATTTAATTTAGATATTCTGAGATTCAATTTAGGTATTCTAGGATTTAATTTAGGTATTTTAAGATTTAACTTAGGTACTTTTAAGATTTAATTTAGGTATTTTAAGATTTAATTTAGATATTTTGAGACTCAATTTAGGTATTTTAAGAATTAATTTAGATATTTTAAGATTTAATATAATATTTTAAGATTTAATTTAGGTATTTTAAAATTTAACTGACATATCTGAAGATTTAACTTAGGTATTTTAAGATTCAAGTTAGGTATTTTAAGACTTAATTTAAATATTTTAAGATTCAAGCATTTAAAAAATTAATTTAAAACATTTTAAGACTTAACTTAAACACTTTAAGCTTTAACTTAGATTTTTAAGGTTCACCCCAGGTACTTGAAGGTTTAATTTTAAATAATAATTTTAAGATTATTTTCCCAGCAGGAGATCTCATGAGTGTGATTCCTTCTCATCCTGTTGGATACATCCCAAGGCCTCCTCTGTGAATGTCACTCACACCAGTCAAACTCGACCTCCAAACCCTTCATCCACACCTTAAATCAGATTAATGCACCAAAAAAGTTCTTTTATGATGGAAAAAAAGTGGTTAAAACTCCTCCTCTGCTGTTAAAAAGGATGAAATTCTGGTGGTTTTAAAGAAGGGCACAGAAAATTTGGGTTTAACAGAAATGTAAATATATATATATATAGCTGTTTTTAGTTTGTACACTACATTTATCTGTGTAAATAAATGGTTTTTTTCTTCCCCTTCCCCTAGAGAAGCCTCAAAGTTTCTCTCTGGTGTCGAGATAAAATTGTGGGAAGGGATGTGGCGGGGGAGGAAGCCTGAAAACTGGATTTTAGATTTCTAAATGTGGCTCAAACTGCCACAGTTTAAAAAAAGGGAGGAAAAAAACGTTTCCAAAGGCCCTCCCAGGAAGGAAAACGAGTGGGAAAAAAGCCTGGAATGTGGCAGGGACTCACCAATGTACCACAGAGGGAAGCAGCTGATGTTGTAATACGTGCTCAGGAGCTTCCCAGTCCTGCAAGGAAGGACAAGAAGCAGGAATTCAGTGGGAATTCAGCAGGAATTCCAGGTGAGGGGTGTTTGTGGGCCAAAGGAACTCACATTTCCGTGTAGATGAGCCCGGCCAGGGAGATGTTGAGCAGCCCCCAGGCCAGCACCACCTTCCTGGCCTCGGCCTGTTTCCTCAGCCTCACGGCCAGCTCCAGCACCGACGTGTCCGGGCTCTTCTTTGGAGTCATCTCCTGGGGGAACGGGGAGAGAAAACACAAAATACAGGGGATTTTATTTCCAGCTCGTCTTCTCCAGCGTCACCTGGGAATAATAATTTTTAGGGGAGGAGGGGAAGCTCCTCCAGCGCAGGGAGGAAAGGCCTGGCTCAGTTCTGTAGGGTTTTTATTGGCAATTCCCACTTATTTCTGGGTTTTCTGGAATGGGAAACCCGCTGGTTTTGTTTTCTCCTCTATGCCCAGTTATATTTTATGTGAGGGAAATAAGCCTGTCACAGGCAGGGAGCCCCCACAGCTCCCCCCAGACCTCATTTCTACCCCTTCCCAAATCTCTTCCCTCTCTCCCCACCCCTCTCATATTTCCCCTCTCCCCAAACCTCTCCTCCCCCAACAAGTCTTCCTTCTCCCTCTCCCCAAACCTCTGCACTTCTCCGTCCCCAAAACTCTCCTCTCCCTCCCCAAACCTCTCCCCCTCCCCAACCTCATTTCTCCCCTCTCCCCAAACTCCACATTTCCCCTGCCCAACCTCATTTCTCCCCCCTCCAAATCTCTCCTCTCTTCGCCCCCAAACCTCATTTTTCCCTTTTCCCAATCTCCCCTCTCCCCAAATCTCTCCAATCCCCCTCCCCAAACTTTACCATCCCCCTCCCCAAACATCAATTCCCCCTTCCCCAAATCTCCCTTCTCCCCCTCCTCAAACCTTCCCTTTCCCCCTCTCAACCTCCCCCTTTCCCCTTCCCAAACCTTACCTCTCCCCTTCCCCAAACTCCCCTTCTCCCCCTCCCCAAATCCCCTCTCTCCCATTCCAAACCCCCTCCTCTCCCCTTCCCCAAATCTCACCTCTCCCCCTTGCCCACACCTCGTTTTTCCCCATCCCCAAACCTCTCCCCACCTCAAACCTCTGCACTTCCCCTCCCCAAATCTCCCCTCCCTCTCCCAAAACCTCCCCCCCAAACCTTCCCTCTCTCCCTCCCCAAAAACCCCAAACCTCCCCTTTCCCCTCAAACCTCCCTTCTTCCTCTCCCCTCCCCAATCCCCATTCCCCTCTCTCCCATTCCCACCTCACCATTCCCGTTCCCTTCCCCGCTCTCTCCTCTCCCCATTCCCACCTCACCATTCCCGTTCCCCTCCCCGCTCTCTCCTCTCCCCATTCCCAATCCCATTCCCACCTCACCATTCCCATTCCCCTCCCCGCTCTCTCCATTCCCATCTCATTCTCATTCCCCTCCGCTCCCTCCTCTCCTCAATCCCCTCTCACCCATTCCCACCTCACCATTCCCATTCCCCTCCCCGCTCTCTCCTCTCCCCATTCCCAATCCCAATCCCACCTCACCATTCCCATCCCCATTCCCACCTCACCATTCCCATTCCCCTCTCTCCATTCCCATCTCATTCCCATTCCCCTCCAGTCTCTCCTCTCCTCAATCCCCATTCCCCTCTCCCCCATTCCCACCTCACCATTCCCCGTTCTCTCCTCTCCCCAGCCACCACATTCCCATTCCCACCTCACCATTCCCACTCCCCTCTCCTCTCCTCCCCTTCCCTCCCCTCTCCCCAACCACCACATTCCCATTCCCACCTCACCATTCCCATTCCCCTCCCCGCTCTCTCCTCTCTCCATTCCCATTCCCCTCCGCTCTCTCCTCTCCTCTCCCCAACCACCACATTCCCATTCCCACCTCACCGTTCCCATTCCCCTCCCCGCTCTCTCTATTCCCATTCCCCAACCACCACATTC